TTTGAGATTGCATGAACACGGCATTAGGATTTTTCAAATGCAGAGGACACATTTCTCTACCAGAACAAGTGTAATTAATCTTAACATTAATTCATCTCACATTTCATTCCTGTTGCCAATCTACTGTTAGTTTAGCCTTTATTTTCAAAGGACAATGCACAGTTACATGATCAAACTTTTAAAAAGATATATTCTTCGCCAGATTATAGCTAACTAATTTCCTTCGACAGTCCCCAGTTTCATGAGAAATTACAACTATAAACAAAAAAGTTATATAAATGTTTATTGATTACAGCGCAAACCTGTCACTTATCACACATAAGTATTCTAATGTGTTTTTTACAGATCAACCAATAAAGGAATTCTGCCTTCAGGAGGATTGTGGGTTTGGACAGTGCATCATTTACAGCTTAGGGTTTAGGATTTAGGTAAAAAAATAAATCAATTGTACAACCTAGGTTTTATTAGAAATATGTGGGAAAAAGCTTTATTTGCATTTTTAAAGACCAGTCATTGCACTGAAAAAATCACACACACTAAACACACACTGAATGAATGAAAACGAATCATAACCACTGAATGTGCGTCTATTCATGTTGTGTATCTTATCAGAACATTGCAAATAGAAGAGATTAGGATATGCCATTCTTAGCATTGCATTTCAAGAGCATAAGCCTTGGTCCAATATCAACTCATTCAAGATTCAGCATTAAGTTATTATGTACCGAAATAAATTTGTCTTGGACATACAGGCTGCTACATTGGAAATACACAAAAGACATTAAACAACAGGCAATGATGGAGTCATTGCCTGGGAGTCGCCGCAGGACAGTGCAACTCGTACCATTTGTAGAGTAAAAATCTCTTTTAGTAAAAATACAGGTGTTTTCAAACCACCACAAACGGAACCATGTTTCCAAAGTCCACCCATCCATCTAGTTCCATCACAACACAGCAACTCCATTTCCTAAATGTTCCTGTATTTGGCACCATCCATCACCCCAGCTACTGTATTCTAACAATCTTCCCTGTCCCCACTGAAGAAAAGCAGCCCCATAGCATGATGCTACCCTCACATTATTTGTCACTGGGGATGGCGCACTCCGGACGATCAGCAGTGTTAGCTTTGCATTAGCTTTGAGTTTGGGACAAAACGTTAAATTTTGGTCTCATCTGACCAAAGCACCTTCTTCCACCAGATAGCTGTGTCCCTCATATGACTTCTGACAAACTTCAAATAGGATTTCTTTTATGGCCCCCTTTCATTAATGGATTTCTTCTTGCCACTCGTCCATAAAGGGCAGATTTGTGATTCCTCCAGATCAGCAGCAGTACTCGGCAGCTCCTCCAGAGAGTCATCTTGGGACACTTGGTTGTCTTTCTGAACAGTGCTCTCTTTGTCTGATCTGTTAGTTTAGGTGGACGGCAGTGTCTTGGTAGGTTTGCAGTGGTACCATACTTTCTATTAAACAGTGCTCCGTGAGATATTCAACTCTTCGGAAATAACTCAACGCTACTTTAATCTGATGTCTACCTTGGCCTTATGATGTTGTTTAGTGACCAATAAACTCCGACCACAGCTCTAAGGCCCTCACAGAACGTATGTATTTATACTGGGAGTAGGTTACACTGCAGTAGCCTCTATTTAATCATCAGTGAAAATTCAGCCGTCTTTAGAATTTTTTTAAAAGCAATATAATGCACCGAAAAAAGTTGTATGCATTATTGTGCATGCCCTTATTTTCACTTTTCTATTTTTAAGATAATAACAGAATCATGTATCATTTTAATAAAATGGTTACGGTTGTAAACGTGTGAACATTTTCAAAAGTTTAAACTATGTTAATGCTTTTGAGCGGAGCTGTACATGTTCAAACAGAAAAAAAAACTTATAAAAAATATCCCCGTCCCACACAGAATCTTCACACTGGATCGGCCCCAATTTTTTATTACATTTTAGAACTCATCCTTTCTGTATGTTTTAAAATATGTCTCAAAAGTTCTTTGTCACAGATATTGACAAGATAGATGTAAAACTGCTATCAATATTTATCAGGTGTTCTGTCCCACCAAGAAAAGTCATTCATGTCATCAGTTGTAACAAGTGTAAGACACTTGGACAGTCCTTTGATAATGGCCCATATCAAAAAGACGGGCTGGGTAATAGATTGAGAAGTTGCCAGTCCATTTGGTGTCCTGCCCATCTCAAAGTGTGATTGGCTGACCCTTTTCACAGCAGTCTGTATATATAGGTGTGAAGAAATGTCAGTTATGTGCATCTCAGCAGGTAAGACAAGATCAATTCTCCATGAGTAACATTGTGACACTGTAATGTAAATTTATGAAAAGTGTAACTGGTTTGTCTTTCAGCCATGGGTTCCGCGGTGCTGCACTGTGCTCTGCTGCTTCTCCTCAGCGGTGAGTCATTTGTTTTTGTCTTAATATTTGCTTGAATTAGAAAAGGAGGATCTTGATTTACATTTTACATCTTATCCGTTGTAAGTAGAAAAAATAACTAAGTCAGTCAAACTTTATGCTTAGTATTAGTTCTCAAGACTTTGCTTTCAATTTTCATGATTTGAGTAAAACAAGACTTGTTATGTGTATCCTATTGAAAAACCTTGCTTTCTGACTTTCAAAATATACCTAATAATCACAACTTTAGAGGTATTGGTTCTCACTATCAGCAAACTAAAAGGCCATGACTCAAAAAATAGCTGGAGTTAGTATATAAAGAATGTAAACTACATTACATAAGGAGATATATTAAATGTTTTAATTAAAAATGCCTGATATATATATATATATATATATATATATATATATATATATATATATATATATATATATATATATATAAATTATAATAATGTATAATGAAGAAATATAATATATGATATAAACCACTGTTACAATCTATTTAAAGCTGTTATAACTTTTTTGTTTCTCAAGTCCTATAATATATTTGTCCACTCGAAAAAGCAAGCAAATTCTGTGAGCAAATCAGACCATAACTTCTTATCTTATAAGATAAACATTTTATCTTTTGCTTTTTCCTTGGTTCCTCTAAATGTCATTGTTTTTTCCTGGATGTTGTTTTTTTAATTCTCCTTTTTGATTGGAAACAAGCATATGACTTCACTTGACCAGTTAGAAGTTATATTATTATATCTGTGAAGAGTAGTCTTCTTGTTGTAATAAGTTCAGTTTTTTCAAACACTAAAATAATCTATTTTTCAGGATTATACATGTTTTAAACCAAACTGAGCGACATTATAGTATACTAGTGCAGTAAAAACATAACTCACAAAAATAGGAGTTTATGTAATGTATTAATACATCTTTTATGTCAATTATCCCCAGATAACAGGTCACATTAATATAGAATACAATGGACAATGTTTAAGGTTTTTTAGCAGGTAATCCGATTTGGGTTGAAATATAGCTGTTTATATCTCAATAACAAAACTCACAAACAAAAAATAACCACAAAATAGTTCTGCAATCATATGTAATACAGAGTCTGTACCATTTCTGGCTAAAAAACCCCAGCAGGTGGATTGCATCATGAATCAGTGCTTACATGTGTCCTCCTATTGTCAAGTAAAATCTTTCCTGCGGCATATTGCACTGATTAATGATGCAATCCACCTGCTGGGGTTTAGATAGAAACTCTACAGACTGTGTGATGTATCTGCTGTCATTTAAACAACAGAGACACACACACACCGACAGATAGACACAAACACAGACACACACACACCTACACACACATACTGACACGCACACAGACACAAAGAAACAAACACACACACACACACACACACACACTTACATTTACACACACACAGATGACACACACGCTCCTATTGACTCACACATACACACACAGACATAGACACACAGACTCAGACACACACCTACACACACATACTGACATGCACACAGACACAAAGACACAGACATAGACACACACAAGCACACATACTTATATATACACACACACACACAGATTTACACACACAGACTGACTGGACACAAGAATATCTCACAACTATGCAACAAAGACAGAAGTGGTTCAAGGTAAAGAGAAATTTCAACGTTGGAGACATAGTTGTAATTGTGGACCCCTCCTCACCACGAGCCTCATGGCCTCTAGCAAAAATATTGGAAACGAGGCCCGACTCCAAAGGACTGGTGAGGTCAGTAAAACTAAAAACAAGGACCGGAACCCTGGAAAGACCGGTCACAAAGATCTGCCTTCTTGTGGAAGAAGATTAAAGAAGAAAACAACACACTTGTTATATTTTGTTTTGGGCTCCTTAATAAAAATGGAGGAAAATGTTTATTTTATTTTGGAAATAAAACATTTGGGGCCGGAAATGTAGGAGCCAAAATGTAGTTAAGAGACTTTGTACAGCCCCCATTGACGCTTTTGTCGCCATCTAGTGGACGCACTGGGGTAGGGCTACATAAGGTGTGCAGTATCACCTGGAGGTGTGGCTGCAGTAGGAAGAGACAGTCTTTGACCTCACTCACTCACTCACTCTGTCTCACATCTGCCTTTCATTTTGATTTTGGTACAATTGGAAGTACATTTTTTGTTTGTAAAATAAATATAATTTTCATTATTCAAGAATCTTTTTCGTGGACATTTCTTATTTTTTATGTGGAGCGTCAGACCCTTTTTGCTCAGTCACCACAAAGAAAGGATTTTTTCTGACTCTACACTGACACACCCACAAACATTTACACACATACACACAGACTG